CCCCCCCCCCCCCCCCGTCGGTCGGCACACGCGTGTACACGCACTCACACTGGTAGAGGGCTGGGGCGCTGGGTGGTGTGGGGGGACCTCATCTCAATTGCAGTCAATGACATAACGACATGCAAGACGGCACCGGCGAATACAAAATGTAACCAGCGATAACGTAGCCGCAGCACTCCCAATGTCCTCCTTACATCGCCGCACGGCACCGCCGTGGGGCGGTGGCCGACACACTGCATCTCGTCCAGCAGCTCGACACACACGTCCAACTGACCACACTGAGAAGGGTGCGTATGCTGGTTTGTAGAGGTGGTCTCTGTCTGTGTGTGTGTGTGTGTGTTACCTGTGCGAAGGCGACTGCAGGGGGAGTCACGCCATGGGTCTTCATCAACTTGAACGCCTGCAAACAGCACACAGATCGCCATTCGACCTGTTTGTTGCAAGCACCCGCCCGACCCTAGGCCCGTCTGGTAGCACGCAGGCGCTCGATGTCACGTGTGTGTGTGTGTGAGTGTGTGGTTCTGTGTCGTATGTGTTGGATGTTCACCATGAGCATGCCTGGAGCGGTCAACACCTCCTTCTTCACCCACTCGTATACCTCCATCGCACGGTCAACCTGCACAACGATGCCAACAACACCCACGCATACGTCCGCCCATCCCGCCCAAATGCCTGGCACTCACCATGCGGTTGTCGGCGAACGCTGTGATGAGTTTGGCATATGGTATGGAATTGGCCATCTGGCCGCCCTCCTGCTGGAATCTCTCGCTTGCCATCTGCTGGAAGATCCGGTGGGCCGCGTGGAGGCCATTCGAGGTCTCCTGCATGCCGGGCGACGTCGGCCGCACCTTGGTGGCCTCGCGCATCTCGATCACAGAAAAAGAGACTTCATGATATAAAATGTGGGCAACGATCGCCTGAAAGGGAGGCCGACGGGCGGCACCCGGCGAGGGCTGTGATTCGGCTGAGGGAATGGGGGCCACAGACGCCTCAGAGGACGGCGCAGGGGGCGCCTTGGCAGGAGCGGATGGCGTGCTAGCAGCCCTGGCCTCTTGTATGATTTCGATGGCTCCCTCAGCTACGTGTTCGGCGAGGTGCAGCCGCTGGCGGATATCCATACAGCTGCAGTTGAGGCTGTCGAGGAAATAGTCCTCGTTGGATTCCGTCGTCTTGAGGTCGGCACTCCAGAGGAGCGGATAGGGTTCGTTCTGCATGTTCAGCGCACGCATGATCTTGGGCATGTCGTTGTCGATGAAGTTGGTTATCAGCGGGCGGAACAGGGGGTCGTCGAGCTTGTAGCTGATGTCTCCAGCACTTTCGCTCTTGAACAAGGTGGAGAAGATGCCCACGGCCTTGGGCACGCATGATCTGCGGCATGTCGTTGTCGATGAACTTCGTCATCAGCGGGCGGAACAGGGGGTCGTCACGAGCGTGTGTACCCTGTACCGCACACAAATGCAAATAGAAGCACGGTGCAATTCCTCAATACATCTGGTATTCGTTTGTCTGTCTGATCCTGGAAACGATGCCTGTAGAAGACAGCCAGCAGAAGACAGCCACCGAATCCACACCCACACAGAGAGAGCCACACATCCACACAGGGAGGGAGGGAGGGAGGGAGGGCCCATGTGCGCCTCGCACACGTTCACACCATGGCCAGCTGCTTGGTGGGGCGTCATTGCTGTAGGGCCCTGAGTGAAGTTGGCCAGCTGAATTCTTGGGTTCTCTATGCCTGAGACTCACATACAGTGTGCACGTGTGTCTGCGTGTGGTGTGCACGCTGATTCTTAGAATTGTGGTCGTGTTAGTGCTTCTTGATGCTGTCCATCTTAGCCTTCTGCACAGATGCCACCCTGCGCACACACATAATACACACACACGTGTGTGGTGACGTTAGCTTAAGGGGGCGCTTTCCCTCTTCGTGTGTCCGGCACCGGCTACCTCCGACAGCATGCTGAAAGGGCCCGACAAATATAAAATGTAAGCAGCAATAACATCGCGCACCACTCTCTGTCGCTCTTAATGCAGCAATCCCAATGTCCTCCTCGCACCAATCTCTAGAAAACTCTTGCAGAAGGTGACCAGGTCTGACATAGCCACTCACACACGACACACACGCGCACACGCGATGGATAATCCCCAGGTCAATGTGTTGGTGCATCAGATACATACCAGTATGCTGAAGGTGCGTTGTGGTGGAGAAATGCCCTGCGCCGGCAGCTGCCCAGCTCGCACGATGGCCTTCATGCCGTTCAACAGCCCTAACGCTCTGCACACAGGTTGCCATATGACAAGAGCACGTCTGTGTGTGTGTGGCGTGCCGTCCCGTGTGTGAGTGGCCATCCACAAAGTGTGGTACCTGCCCCTCGAGTTTGCCTGTTTCTGAGTAGGCCTGGATGAGGAGGTGATAGGTCGTCTGGTCTGGCTGCACCTTCGCCGCGACCATGGCCTACATGAGAGGAAACGCATGCACCTATGTGCTGTGTCTCTTTGTGTGTCACTCTCACCTGCACCACTGTGCTGAAGCGACGGGCGTCTTGGTTACTGCGCACATACCACGACCAACAAACAGCACAGAGGCAGCGGGAGTGGTGTGGTGTGCACTGGTCGTTGCTTTGCACGTACCGTGTGCATGCGTCGAGGAGCGTGTTGAATGTGACGGTGCTGAATTGAAACCCCTCCCGCTTCACCACCTCGTAAACCTCCATCGCGAGATCGACCTGCACAGTGATGCAACATCGCATTGCACCACACAGAGCGGCATCCATGAAGTGCATGCATTCCATGCGTCTCTCTGTCCCACCTGAGCGCCTTTTGCCAGCGCTATCACCAGCGTGGCATAGACCTCGCCCTTCTCGTGTCCGCCCTCTGGTCGACTCGCCTGCGCACTGGCGACGAGCGGCTGCTCCAGGAACGAGTGCTTCATAAGGTCCTGCAAGATCCTGTAGGCCCCTGTTAGGTCATTGTGTTGAATGGCGTCGACAAGGCGGCCGTATGCGGGGGAAGGTTGCTGGCCGACCCGACCCTCGCTATCGATTGCCGTTCACCCACCCACCCACCTTGAGCACTCTTGGACCCTCGGCGATCAATTCGCAGAAGTGCTCCTTGAAAGAGGGGAAGTCGGAGTAAGCATACGCGTCCGGAAGGGCACAGGCCAGATGGCGGGTCTTCACCACCAGGTGCTTGGCTTCCATCTGCGTACACACACGCGCGCACACAAGTTGAGCGAAGCCTAGCCAGGATGAGCCCTCACTGCACTGACAGACATACAGCCAACCCTTCCATACAGCCAACCTTGCGAGGTGGGTGCAGCTGCTGTCTCATATCCACACAGCTGCAGTTGAGGCTGTCGAGGAAATAGACGTCGTGTCGATGAACTTGGTCATCAGCGGGCGCAACAGGGCGTCGTCGGGCTTGTAGCTGATGTCTCCAGCGATCCCGCTCTTGAACAAGGTGGGGAAGATGCCCAAGGCCTTGGACCTCTTGCGCACGATCGACTCGACGGGCTTGTCGTTGATCATCCTGACCTGCTGCCAGCCCACCGGCTGCGCCTGAAGAGGTCGTGAACGGGGGCGCTGGCGAGTCCAAGGAGGATGGTTCTAGCGGCGAGGGCAAGATTGCTGAGGGTGAGGGTGAGGGTGCGGCCGCTACCGATGGCACCAAGGAGGTGGCGAGGAGACCGTGACCGAGGAGAAGGCCGAGGAGGACTCAACTCGCACCACTCCCTCCTCAATGCCCGACGGGGAGCGGTGGTCGATGAGGTGGCCGTCCTCACCGACAAGATACTCATTGCAGGATGTCATGAAGTCATCAACCGTCCGCTCTTCCTCGTGCTCGTCCCCCACCCTCTGCAGCTCCAGCCTCGCGCTTCCCCTCACCGGGCCTGTGTGCCCCTCCTTCAACTTGCAGATCCAAATGGCTTCGCTAGACTGACATAACAAGACACCAAACACGAGACACAACACAGAGAGAGACATCAGCGGTTTGATCGGTGTCTGGATGGCACAGCCAGCCAGCCAGCCAACCAACCAGCGAGCGAATCAATATGTATGCGTGTACATGCGACCCGACCCTCGCTATCGATTGCCGTTCACCCACCCACCCACCTTGAGCACTCTTGGACCCTCGGCGATCAATTCGCAGAAGTGCTCCTTGAAAGAGGGGAAGTCGGAGTGAGCATACGCGTCCGGAAGGGCACAGGCCAGATGGCGGGTCTTCACCACCAGGTGCTTGGCTTCCATCTGCGTACACACACACGCGCACACAAGTTGAGCGAAGCCTACCCAGGATGAGCCCTCACTGCACTGACAGACATACAGCCAACCCTTCCATACGGCCAACCTTGCGAGGTGGGTGCAGCTGCTGTCTCATATCCACACAGCTGCAGTTGAGGCTGTCGAGGAAATACATATCGTTGGAGTCCGTCGTCTTGAGCTCGGCCAGCCAGAGGAGCGGATAGGCTTAGTTCTGCATCTTCAGCGCACGCATGATCTTGGGCATGTCCTTGTCGATGGACTTGGCCAGCAGCGGACGAAACACCGGGTCGTCGGGCTTCTAGCTGATGTCTCCAGCACTTTCGCTCTTGAACAAGGTGGGGAAGATGCCCCCGGCCGCCGTGAGCTACTTGCGCACGATCTCGACGGGCTTGGCGTGGATCATCCTGACTCGCACCACTCCCTCCTCAATGCCCGACGGGAAGCGGTGGTTGATGAGGTGAGCCACCTAGACGGCGGTCAAGCTCTTCTAAGAGGGTCAGGGTCTAAGGGGCGAGAGACCAAGACGCTGCTGGGGGAATGTTTCTATCTCCCTCATATGTGTGTGTACCTTGGAGAACTCCTCCGCTTGAATATCAACCTCGCGACGCTCCGCTCTCTGCCTCGCCGTGTAGATGGGGATTTTGTTGTCCCGCAGGAAGCTCCCGAACTCCGGCACCAGAGACAAGCGTACTCGAGACAGTCACATTACCTGTCATCTTTCCAATCTTTGCATTGTCGACAGCTCATCTTGGCGTTTGTGATGGTGATGACCTCGCCCTCAAGCTGCAGGCAGTCTTCGATGACTTGCCTGGCGGCCACCATCAGCAATGGCAGCCCTGTAGCGAGTGGCTCAGCTTACTCATATGCTCGGTGGGAAAGAGGGTACAATCCTGCAACCCCGCCACAAGAAGATACCCACACATGCACGAAAACGCCTTTCAATTGCTTACTTACCCGGTCGAAGACGAAAAGCACCTTCTCCCTCGGCAGTTCTGACACGGCGGTGTCGTAAGTGAATTGTAAGTGAACATGCTGTTGGCAACTATTGGCAACCCAGGTGACCCTGCGACCAAAATGGTTGAGGGGGGGAGGGCGTAGACGTGGGAGGCGGCCCTCGAAGCGGAGATAGAGGGAGGGCAGTGCGAGTCGAGGGCCGAGCAGGAAGAGGTACCCGGCATGCGAAAGCTGTCGGTGTCGAAGGAGGACAGCTCAGAAGTGGCACAGAGGCCGCTGACAGCCAACAGGGCGCCGAAACCGCTGGGATGGCGACAAAATCCGCCAAATGGCCGAAACATCATTGGAAAAAATTGACCGTCTCGGCCAGCAAGCGAATTCTCGCCAAAGAAGCTCGCCTCTTCGGCGGCAAGAAAGCATCCTCATTCATCGACTTCCTCATGCCTACGAGCCTCCTTTGCCATGATTCCATCGTTTGATGTTCCCCATCGGATTCCGTGGAGGCGCTTGTGTGCACGTCTGCCGGGCGTCCGCCTTGGCGCTGACACGTCTGCCGCATCCATCTAACACGACTGCATAAGACAACCTCCGCCCATGGTGAGAGGATACGGCAGAGAAAGGAAGCCGTCGCCGCCATTGTCATGTGACGCTTGTTTGCTGCATCTCTCAGGCTGACCGAGAGGCTGACGGGACTCGAGTGCCTTCGTTTCGCTTGGTGCATCGATCAGGACAGCCGCCACCGATAAACCACATACCAGTAAGCAGAGGAAAGCACGATACCACGCATGACAAGCATGACACCTGTGTGCGTTGTCTGTGGTTTGTCAGGCTCGCCATTGTATTTCGCGTGATGCGGTGGCAAACGTCCACGGTCACTTCCATCCCCGGGGCCTCACTCGTCTGCGCCGCTCCATCGGCACCCCACTCTTCCAGCAGTCGGCATCGCAGTACACGCATCTGAGCGTCACCTGCTCGACCCGGGCGACCCGTCGACTGTGGCAGCGGATGCCTCTCCGTGTCGCCCACAAGTGGGGCGAGCGAGCCAACCACCTGCGGGAGTTGGAGGTCCACTACCCCAGCTTCCACCCGACCTGGTGCATGGGAACCTGGGTGGCTTTGCTTGAAGGCCACGGTGCCGCCCGGGCGGGAATCGCACGGAAGATGGAGGAGGCGAGACGACCGGAGGGAGGCGGCAGCAGTGGTGCGGCATCGTCAGAGGACCAGCTGCGAGTGGAGGGCACCCTGCTCAAGCTGACATTCACACGGATCGAGTACCCCCAGCCGAATGCGTCCCTCCGCGCCAGCTTCAGCCACACTTCATCGACCCCTCTCCCTCCCTCCGGGCGGCCGGTGGTCCTTCCGGCCCTCTCGGCCGTCAACAACCTGCCATCGCAGTGCACGCCAGTGCGGGTGGGCCGCGAGTGGCGGACTCCCGGCATCGCCTCGATCTCGTTCGATCTGGACGGGACGGTCCACCACAACCCCATCTACATCACTCGAGAAGAGGAAGAGGCGAGGGCGGCTGACGTGGATGCCGCACCTGCATGGGTGAGCGGAAGCAATGCGCTTCAGGAGGTGGACTTCATCAGTCGCAAGCAGCGTGGGCTGCCGGGGGAGCTGCGACACTTGACCCCCACTGGACTGCTCTAGTTGCTGCCCCAGCGACTGGAGCAGCTGCGGACGGTCGGGTGTCTGTACGTGCCGAGAGGGACGGATGCGGCGGACATCAGCGCCCTGCGGCAGGAGCTGGTTCGGCGTGGGTGCAACAAGACATTCACCAAGATGCCCATCTTCCTCGGCTACGTGGGAGGGGCCGATGCTGACAAGCGACGGCTGTGCAGCCTCGCCTACCTGCAGTAAGCAGCAAGCCACCAGGACGCGATGCACGCACAGACAACGTGTCAACAGCGACGTGTCTGTGTCCCTTCCGTCTTTCTGCAGTGGTGCAGTGATGGACCCGTTGTGTGAGCCCGAGGTCGCCGACCCGACGACGCGAGCCTTCAAGATGGAGAGAGATGACTCGGTCGCCACTGACATCATTGCATGGGCCCAGGCGGAGACCAGCTGTGTCAAGAAGCTCGTGGCGGCCCATGCCAAGGCTGCCGACACCATCGTGTACCGAGGAGGCCGCGGGACACATCTGGCGGGCATCAGCAGCGACATGTTCGGCGAGCGAGACCCCGAGACCCAGCAGGACCCTGTGGTGTTCAAGCTGCAGGCGGAGGAGGTGTCCGAGGAGGACATGGAGCAGATGGCCAAGATCGTCGCCGGCATGCAGGAGCAGTGGCTGGAGGTGACGGTAGCAGGGGCCGCGGCGGGTGAGAATACGGTGGACAACGATCCACGTAGTGATGACGCCGATCACACTGGGTCGCTCGACATGGCGGCGCGGTTTCTGGCGAAACTCCACCAGGTTGGCGGCGACATCGGCTTCAACATGGACGTTTCCCTCGACCCTGCCGCCTTTGCCGACGCTGAGGTGGCCACCAGGTGGCGTGAAGCCTCGCAGTTGTTTGCGGACCATCACCCCAATGATCTGACGGTGTTTGCAACAGGTGAGGAAAGGAAGAAAGGATCGTAGCGCTTGACTTTATGTGTCTGTGTGTGTGTTTCTGTATGTGCTTGCATTTGTGTTTGTGTTTGTGTGTGTGCGCGCCAGGTGAGATTCCTGACGACATGACTGATGCTCAGTGGTACGAGCGCGTGTTGGACCTGCTGGTGGCCTTCTACGAGACCGGCACGAGGGGCCGGGTGCTGACCACAGGCGGCACTTCGCACATCATCGAGCAGCATTTTGATGAAGACGGCCAGCGCGAGCAGGCCTATCACATGAGGTGGGAGGGGTTCCCCGGCATCAGCGTGAGCCCGCCCAACTGGCCCGACGAGCCGTGACGAGCTGTGCGGCCGACAGAGAGGGACCTGGTAGATAGAAGGGGTGGTGGGGTGGGCGGTATGGGTACTTCTCTGTCTGTCTGGCTCATTCTCGATGTACTCGTGTACAGCTCTCTGTCTGCATGTCCACGTGTGAATGCATTGCATGCTCGTTGGACGTGACCTATTGAGTGCATGAGCACGTCAGTCAATCCATCCATCAATGACTGCAATATGTATGTCCCCCCGACACACACCGGGCCAGCCCCCTCATACTCATCGGACTTCCACTCACTACTAGCAAAACTGTCACAAATGAGAATTGCCTTCCTGAGGTGGTGGCACCTCAGTCCCTCACACCACACCTTCAGACCAAGACACTCACACTGCCGGCCCGCCATCCGTCCCTAGCTAGCTGTAGTGGATGTGGTCCCTCCCAACGTCACGGCCAAGGTAATGACTCTTCAGCCTGTGGGCACCGCCCGACCACGGAGGCAGTGAGTGAGTGACACATGTGTGGCTGGCCGTGTCGACGTACCAGTCGAACGTGGTGATGATGCGGTTCCGCCAGGTCATCTGCTCTTGCAAATACACCGCACGCCAGAACAGCGAACTGTGGACACACAGAGAGAGGGCCATTCGGGCAGGACGTTCCGGGAATGCGCGTTGGCAGTGAAGTAGAGCATACCTGAAGTTGCCCCCGAGTATGCAGATGAACTTGTCGTCCTTCTTGGCGCCCGACGGCATCACCCGCAGGTCATCCTCCTCCTCGCCAGCCGAAGCATCCTACACACACACACACACACACACGCACGCAGAGAGGGAGAGATAGAGGGAGGTGCATACACAGGACTGATCCACGCCCCTTCAGGTGTGTTCGTGTCCTCTGACCTGTACAGCGTTTTCCGTCTTGTTTTCTTCGATTTTTTCCGTGTCGTTGCTGTTGCTGGGGTTTGGCGGCGGCTGCACGTCGTTCTCGACTTTGAGGATGGTGCCGCCAGGCATCAGGTACGTCAGCGCACTCAGGTCGGGCGGCAAATCAGCGACGGCCTGTGTGGAGACAGATGTCATGTCTGTGGAGTCGAACGAGCGCATCGTGTGTGATTCTTCCCCACCTGCGAGTCGCCGACGTACGCCAGAGTGCCCTTCCACTTCTCAATGAACACGGGCGCCTCGAACTTAGACGCCCTGCCAACCAACACACGCCAACAACCACGTCAGTGCCCACACCGATTGGGTGGTTGTTCGTCAGCTCCTGACTGACTTGGTCCTGAATTTGGTGAAGGTGTCGGCCAGGTACGTCCCCTGCTGAGCCGCATTCTGGGCCGTCGGTGCTGGCGACCGGTAGTTCTCGTCAATCGAAGCTGGCACACACAAAATGCACTGGCATCAGTGCGTGGTTGTGGGCGTGGGTGGCCTGGCTGGCTGGCTGGCTGGCTGGCTGTTCACCCAGGAAATTTTTGAGTTGTTGGTAGTCGAATTGTTTCTTGTCCCATTTCCTCTCGATGGCCTCCCGGAAGTCATACTTGGTCGGAGACATCTACATCACACACACGTGCTCACACACACAGACAGACACAGGCGACTAATCGTCCTGTCTGTCGGCCGTTTCTCACCTGTGGGAAGTCGGCTGCGAGCTGGGCCTGGTTGGAGATCAGCCACTGGACGGCCATGGCGAAGGTCTGCGTCTTCTGTGTGACGATCTTGTGACGATCGTCCCACGGCAGGAAGAAACCGTGATGCGGCCTGAGGCACACACACGCACACCAACAGGCAAGTCAGGAGAGCATCCATCCCATCTGCATGTTTGTGTGTTTGTTTGTCTGTGTTGCGTCTGTCTGTCTGTCTGTCTGTACGCCATGCATTTCCAGAGGTCAGGGGCGGCCTCGGCGATCGATTTGGGGACGATCTCGGCGCAGTCGCCCAGGCAATACACATTCTCGGTGCCGAGAAGACGCAACCTGATGCAGGCAGGCACAAAGCACATGGCTGGGATATATGCGTCGGCGCGGCATGTATGTGTGTCTACGTGTCTGTGTGCGTCTCTCCTTACTGTCCGTCGACGGCCATTCTCGACCTGCCCTTCTGCTCGCGCAGCTTCTGAAGCACCTTCTGCGACAGCTCCACCTGACCCACACCTGCACACACTCGTCCATCCATGCATCAATCCGATGAGATGCGTCCTCTCGTTGGCTGTGTGTGTGTGTGTGTGTGTGTGTGAGGTGAGCGTCAATAATCACCTGCTGCCCAGAGAACGAAGCCGTAGGGCATCTCTTTCTGCAGCAACACAACACAGGTCAGCGGGGGACGTGCTCACGTGAGCTTGAGCTTGCCACGCACCCCCTGCTCACCGTTTCCCCCTGAGCTGGTCTGTCCTTGCCGATGGCTTCGTCCTCGTCGTATGGCCGCGGCGTCCGGAGGTTCTTGACGGTCATGGTCTTCTCCTTGATCTCGCTGACCGCATACTCGCTCATCACACTGATGCCCTGATATCAACATACATTAACCAACACACACACACACACGCACGGCCGAAGCACGCTAGTGGTAGGTTTCTGTGGTGGGCGGATCGGCTCGGCGACAAGCGCTCACCAGTTTCTTGAAGACCTTCCTGGTGTGCTTGCTCACGGCCTGATGGCAAGGAACGTGACAAAGAGAGCAGACAGACGTGTTGGTCCCTTGCAGGTCACTGAATATGGATTACCCCGGAGAACATGGGCAGCAATCGCGGACTCTGCAATGCACCAACAAAACCGATGAATGCACTCTTCGTGTCCAGCCGTATGTCTTTGTGTCTCTCCATCTTTTCTCTCGCCTACCATCTCGATGAGCGTGACTTTGGCCATCAACATCAGCTGGACAACACCAAATGGAGGAGAACATGTCAGCCACGGCCGTTTGTGTCGCGTCGATCGTCTCACCTCCTCCGGGAAGTACTTGCTCATGTCGTCCCTGATGAAGTCCATGAACTCGGCGGCCGCCTCGACGCCTGTGGGGCCGCCACCCTGTCGGTCAACCACACACACACACACACACACGTGTATTTCAATGGCCTTGGCTGCACTCTGTGTCTGCCGGCACCACCCACCACGACGACAAAGTGAAGAAGCCGCTCTTTCTCCTCGTAGCTCACGCCTGCACCACACAGACAGGTGGGCAGAGTAGAGAGAGAGAGAGAGAGAGCAGTCATCCCGCAGCCAGCTACTGACCTACCCGGTAGGTATGCCTTTTCAAAGTTGTTCATGATGCGTTTCCTGATGTCGCGTGCGTGTTCGATCTCCTTGAGGAAGTAGGAGTACTCCTCCACCCCAGGGATGTTGTAGGTGTTGTTCTGCGCCCCCACGGCAACCACCAGGTAGTCGTAGGGGATGTGGAACAGCGTGTCGTACTCCTCCAGAGGGATGTACTCGGATGGGAACGGCAAGGGGTGGGCGGACGGCTTGGGCTTCGAGCGGGCCTTCACCTGCTGAGCCGCTGACTTGCACGTCACCCGCTGCTGCACGAAGGAGATGTCTGCAGACACAGAGGAGGGAACATTTGTGTGTGTGTGTGTGTGTGTCTGTCTGTCTGGGTGAGTAACAAATACCTTCTGCGTATGCCTCATAGAATGTGACGTCCACTTTGCCCGTCTTGGGGTTCCGGCAGAAGTGGCGGAAGGGCTCGATGCAGCTGCGCACACACACACCCCATGACCACTCACTGATGCACACACGACGACAGAAAGTTTCCTCTTTTGACACACCTGAATGGGGTGAGTGTGCCGCTGCACACCGACGGCAGCAAGGGCGTGAACGTGAAGTAATTCCGTGGAGAGACCTACCACACACACACGCACGACACTTGCCCCTCGGCCACACCCGCCCTCCCTCCCGGCCCAAATCCTTCCCCTTCCTGGCTGACTCTTTTTGTCACTCACCACAGTGACGTCATAGAGCTCCTTGTCGAGGTCTTTGACGAAGTTCATGGCGGCCCATCCGGTGCCCAGGATCACCATGCGAGCACGCCGCTTGATTGGCCGCGGCCGCGGCATGCTGCTCGGGGGCTCCAGCTGTTGGCTGGGCGGGAGGGGCTTAGCCTCCTCGAGGGAGTCCTGCACCAGCGACCGCTCGGACATCGTGTCACCGGGGCGAGGCAGAGCCTTCGTGGGGTCCTCCTGCACACCCACACAGACAAAGGCAGGCCGAAAGGGATGGATCGGTGCACTCTCAGTGTGCAGGGCTCCTTACGTTGTCCATCATCTTGCCCACATCCCACTCGGGATCGTCCACCCCCTGGGCAAGCTTATCGACACCCACCCTCTCCTACAGACGCGCATTCGAACCGACACACACAAGAACAACCAAGCAGAAATCGCCAACAATGCCTGTCGCTCGAGTGTCTGTGCGCCTGGCGTGCCTACCGACCCTCTTCTCGTCGAACTGGCCCTGGCGAGCCTTGCGGTTTGACCCATACACATCGCCGCCGAAGTCCATTTCATCGCGCCGCTTGAGCCGCACGGCCGTCACGTGAATGAGCCGACACGCACGCACAGACCCGGGACCTCTCACCAGGGACAGAGAGCACGCCGTCAGCCGCCTCATTGATTGATTGCTTCACATTCAAGTCATCGATTTCACGCCTTTCTCGATGGGATCTGTTGAGCTCGATGACGCGAGGCCTTCGAGCGACCCTTGAAGCGGGAGGAAGGAGTTGTGTTGCAAAAGCTAAGCTCGCAAAGTGGATCGGGTGACCGTCGCGCTTTACGCTTTCAAAGCGGCTGATAGACCGGTGATGGAGGCACGGTGCCGCTCATGATGTGTTTCTTGATGCGCAGCAACATTTGCTTCACCTGCGCGACATCGGCTGTATAGCTTTGTTGATTCATCCGCCGGCTGGCGTCCGTCGTCTTTGAGTGAGGGGAGGGCTGCTGAATCACGCAGCCGAGCAGTGGCGCTTTGCTGAGTCAATCGCACAGACAAGATGGCGACGCAGCCGATGAGTAAGCAGGCTGGCAGGCAGGCAGGCAGGCAGGCAGGGAAGGCAGCACGATGGATGGATGGATGGCTTTGCTTGACTCAGATGGTGAGCTGTACGGCAATTTCGATGATGACGACCGGGAATCGGAATTCTTCGGAGAGGAGGTGACCAAACACACGTCGCGTGAGTTACTTCTGCTCGCTCATCCACTGTCCGTATCTGCGTGTGTGTCATCACTCAGGTCGGTCATCTTGTGTTAGAGGGCACTGCTGCTCCCGACCCGCCTCGCTTCGCCATACGCAAGGGCGCCAACACCATCGGACGACGGCATGAGGAAGAGGTCAGCCCACACTGACTCTGCGCGCAACTGCCTCTGCGTGACTGACGTCTGTTCGTTCGTTTCGCAGGGTGAGGAGGTCGCTGTGGACGGGGAGGATGTCCACAGCCATCGTGTGCACCTGCTCGTGGAGGGCGACAGCAGTCTCACCGTCTCGAAGAAACACGCAATCATAGGTAGGGAGACCAGCCAGGCGCCCATGTGTGCGTGCACAACATAATGCGCGTGTGCGTGTGTGTGTGTGTGTGTGTGTGTTCAGATGTGGAGAGTGATAACGTCGAAATGCGTGACGCCGGCAGCAGCAATGGCACATTGTAGGCCTGCCTGTAACACTCGCAGCCCGCAACGCAGCGACCGTTCCTTGTGTTTTGTGCATGGTGATGTGTGGGTCTGCGCGTGTTCAGCTTTGTGAACAGAGAGAACAGAGAGAAGAAACTGAAGACAGGCGTGCGATACGATCTGTCCGACGGCTGCATCATTCGATTTGGATGTAAGCGGGCGGACACTCCTCACTCCCCTCGCTCACACACAACGGATAGCAACGTCGCTCACCATGATTGTGTGTTCTTCCCTATCGCTTGCAGCCGTCCGCTGTCGCTTCGTCATGGTCCCAGCATTCAAGCAGTGGCTGGACCGTCGGCTGATGCCCTCCCCGCCACCTATGCCGCCCCCACCCCCTCCCCCCGCCGCCCCACGGCTCTCACAGTCACCCACACAGCCAATGACAGACACCAACCAGCCACCGGTGAGACAGCAACAGCCTCCCGCGCCTCCTCCCAGACCGTCGGGCGACGAGCAGCCCACCCAGGCATATGGTGCGGATCTCATCCCTATGCCCCAGCCCCCCCCAGACACCATGGAGGAAGGCCCCACGCTCAACTACAGACAGCCGCCACCCGTCACCGAGGACGAACAACCCGGCAGCCCGCCACGAGGGGAGCCAGCGGGTCAAGACGATGTGTACCATGATGTGTACCAGGCAGACGCCACGGTGCCATACCAGCCAGCGGCAGCAGCAGCAGCAGCGGCTGTCGACCATGATGAGGAACAGGTTGGCGAAGAGGCTGGAGCTGCTGGTGGAGGCGATGTTGGAGGTGAGGGCGACGCACCTGCCGCCGACGATGAGCAGGAGGGGGAGGGCGAGAGGGATCTGGGGGCACCGCCCGCACGCACGTCGGGAGGGGCACCGGGGAGTGACGATCGAGGGCGACGTCACATCGTTGGTAAGGGGGCTGTGTGCAAATGAGGGGGCGAGATGGGCAAACGCACTTGAATGCCTTGTTTGTTCCTGTGCTTGTGTGTCGATCCATCCATTATCAGAGTCGCAAGCACTGTTTTTTGCAGCAGATATCGCAGCCAACAGTGATGACAGCCAATCGGAGCCCCCCGAGCCTCCCCCTGACCAGCCGCCACCGAACCCTCCAGCTGATGAAGGACACCCCCACCAGCAGCAGGAGCAAGAGCAAGAGCAGCAGCAGCAGCAGCAGATGGATGGCGAGGGCGGGGGCGGTGCGGATGACGACGACGCGACGGTTGCAGAGGATGCCGGCCATCCCTTGTCGCCACCACCGCAGCATGACAACGAGCATGCAGGTGAGATAAGGACACTGCAACCACATGGCAAGTGTGAATTCTCCCTCTGTATGTATGTGTTTTCAGGTGCAGCTGGGGAGGCGGGCGCTGCTGCTGCAGCGGGTGGTGGTGGTGAGGCTGCAGCGAATGCCGACGATGATGCCGAAGACGCCACTGTCATGGACCTCTCCCCAGCAGCCAACGAGCACCCCCCTCCACCGCCCGACAATGACGACGACTCCGAGAAGACCGAGCCAGACAACACACCCGAGGCGGCAGCCCCGGCAGCTGCACCACCAGCAGCTGCCCCGCTAGACGATGGGGCAGCAGGCGGCGACCAGCAACAAGCCGACGATGGGGGTCGGCAGCAAGAGGAGCCGACAGGTGGTGGAGGGGAAGAGGCAGTGGCGGCTCCACAGCACGAGGGAGATGAGGGTGAGGGTGAGTTGGAGGGGCAAGGAGCGGCTGGTGACGGTCACGGCGAGGCCAATAGATCGGCGGATGAAGGCGAGCGAGCTCCCACTCCAGCGGCATCATCAGCTGCAGCAGCAGCAGCAGCTGCTGCACCGGCAGCACAGCAGGATGCAGCAGCGCAAGAGGGCGGGGAGGAGCGGCAGGGAGCGGCGGCTGAAGCCAGTGCTGCAGCAGCAGCTGCAGCGCCGGCAGCTGCACTTGACCACCACGGAGAGGAGGAAATGACGGATCAGCAGCAGCAAGAGGCGGCTCCGCCTGAGGCACAGCCTGAGGGCGCCGGGGACGAAGTGCGCGAGATGGAAGTGGACGACGATGGCCACCAGCCGCATCCTGAGGCGACAGCCGAGGAAGAGGCCCCAGCACCACCGCCGCCACCACCACCACCACAGGAGAGGAAGAAACGGTGAGAACGCGGGAAGCCAGAGCCGACCCACACCGCCACATCATATCGGCTCATTCTTCTTATCTTTTTGGTCTTCTGCCCTCGAGTAGGACGCCCAAGCCACGGCCGAAGCCCTTCGACCCGTCAGACGAGCCGCACCCGCCGCAGAAGGGGCGCGGAGGTCTGCGGCCGCGTGTCAAGCAAGAGGATGACGAAGACGATGCAGGCAGAGATGACGAGCCTGAGATAAGGGCGACGGCCAGGAGAGGCCGCGGTGCCAAGAGGGGCAGGGAGGCGGTCCACGTCAAGCAGGAGGAGAAGAGCCGTGAGGACGAGGGAGAAGGTACGCTGGCAGGTCAGATCAACGCGTGCCGACAACGAATGAATCGCTCTGTGATGCATTTGTCAGATGGTCGGGACCAGAAGGCGATGGATGTCGACGAGGGTGGCGAGCCGGCTGCGACTCCTGCGAGTGCTGCTGCTGCTGCTGCTGCCGCTGCAGTGGCGGCTGGCCAAGACGAGCACCACGAGGACCGCAAGAGGCCCCAGGCCAAGGGCAAACGCCAAGCGGCCAGAGCCAAGAAACAGGCAAAGGCGAGCGGACATCCCATCGACCAGAACGGTACACACGCACGGGGGGGTCAAAGATGGCATTATCTGCGAATTCTCGAATCCTTGTCCCTTTGTCTCAGATGAGTACGGTGGTGATCACGATGAGGGCGAGAAGGCCACCGGCAAGCCCAAGGGCAAGGCCAAGGGACGTCCGAAGAGGAAACGGTCCCCAGTGGACAAATCACCGGACGGTATGGCCATCGCATCACACACACATACCGCTGACTCACGCCATGATGCGTGCGTGTGTGTCGAACTGTTCATTCAGGTGACGAGCGTCCTCAGAGGGGCAGAAGGGCGGACCTGATGGACGCTGACGAGAAGGGCGAGGCGGCAGACGAGCCCGCAGTGGCCGAGCCGCCCGCGCCCCCTCGCAAGAAACGCAAGAAGCCCCCTGCCTCACGAGCCACACCATCGCATGACGATGACGACGACCAACACCCTCCCGCCATCGCATCAGGTGAGACGCCGGCGCGAAATACCTGACACCGATCATTGATATCTCTCCCTCCGCCATTTGTGTCTTTCGTGTCAGCTGAGGATGCCCCGTCCCGTCTTCGCCGTTCTTCCGGAGGTGCCGCCGGGCGAGCAGGCAGCAACGACGGTGCAGACGGTCGTGATGGTGAGGTCATGGCTGTGCGCGGGAGGGGTGGCGGTCGTGGGCGGGGCAACAGGGGTCGGCGCGAGCCATCATCGGATGACGGGCGCAGCCAGCGAACAGACAGACAGCCGCCGCCACGACGACGTATCAAGAAGGAGTCAGGTCATTTATCCCCAGGTACAGCACACGGTCGCCCTCACACACATCGTGTCTGTCTGTCTGTCTGTCTTTGTGTCAGCCGCGGCCGCTTCTCCCTCACCAGCAGCAGCAGCAGGAGCGGGCTTCCCGGTGCGCAAGGGCGGTGTGCTGACGACGGGCGGCTGCAGGCCGGACAGCCTCAACAAGCATGTGGTGCAGTCGCTGGGTCTGCGGCTGCTCAAGGACAAGGATGATGGCGGCTGGGAGGACAGCCCGCCCGTCACACTCATCATCGCAAAGGAAGGTCAGACAGACCAGGGAGAAGGGGAGGCGGGGGGGCTCTTGTCTTCACCATGCCATGCGCCTGTGTTGGTGTGGTCCGGTGTGTGTGGCTGCAGCGAAGCGGACGACCAAGTTGCTGTACGGCATGGCGGCGGGCATTCCGATCGTCACTCCAGAGTACATCGACGCCTGCAACGACGCCAAGTGAGTGGACGATGGAGGGAGAGGAGGGATGGAGAAGGACTTTGGCTGTTGGAGGACTGTATGTTGATGTGTGGACCATGGTGGGTCACTATGTGCAGGGTTGAGGGCCATACGGGGAGCCAGGCTTCCACTCGTGGCTCCGGCGGCCGTCTGCTCGACGCCCAAGACTATCTGCTTAAGGTGAGATAAGTGAACACATGCCTCCACACGGTCGATGACCGTGTGTATGTGTTTGGTTCTGAGTGTATCTAGGATTCATCAGCCGAGAAGAAGTTTTCGTTTCGTCTGGCCGACACGCTGGCCAAGGCGCACCAGGAGCCCATCCTGTCCCACGCGACGGTGCACCTGTGCCCCTCAGTCAAGGACGACCCCAAACACCCACTGCTGCCCCTCCTCGTCAAAGGTACGGATGGATGAAAGGAACCGAAACACACACTCTAGGCGGCTGCGGCTATGTGCGTGCTGTGCTGCCTTCTGCTTTCTGTGCAGCTGCTGGTGGCGACTTGTGGAGTTCGACGACCAAGGTGCCCGACAGCAACGAGGAGGCCGACTCGCGGGGCGGCACGCGCACCGTCCTCTGTATCGCTACCGATCACGACCTCAAGACACCCAAATACAAGTGAGTGCAGTGCAGCCTGCCTGCTATCTGGCTGGTGTCATGTGTTGTTGTGTGTCATGTGTCTTGTAGGCCGACGTATCGGAGCAGGGTGGTGAGCTACTACAGTGTGGAGTTGCTGTTTGACGCCATCATGCAGTACTCGGTGGACAAGAAACTCCTGGACAAACACCGCATCAAGCCATAGAGAGACAGACAGACAGACAGACAGGAGGAGACAGACAGACAGACAGACAGGAGGAGACAGACAGACAGACAGACAGGAGGGCGAGGCGGCCAAGACGGTGGTCATGTGGGCATCCGTGGACTCGTCTCGTGTGGGACAGCATTGCATGTGTGGCGACTGACTGCATGGCTGTTGGGCTGTGTGTACAGAGGAAGGAATGGTGGATGGAATCACTTTCGTCACTCAATTGAGCGTCGGGCTATTTGCAAATGTATTGTGTGCGGACATGTCTGTCACATTCAGACAGGACGCACGCCATACAAATGATTTTTTGGATGAAATCCATTAACTCATAGCGCGACGGCAGGCAGAGTCTGTCGGTCTCTCATGAAATGAACTGTGTCAATCGACCAACCCTCAATTACGCGACAAACATGTCAGCACCATCCTCAGCGCCCGCCTGGCGTATCTTCCAGCGGCGCCGCCCACCACGCTCACACGTACTCGCACGACGTGCCAGTGCAACAGACAAACGAGCACGCACCCACCCCATCACCTGGCTATACAACTTGTCTGCCCACGCAGCCTTGGTGCGCAGCTTCTCAATCACGCGGTTGACAAAACCATTGGCCTCTCTGCCCCACACACCATCCACCGTGACGCACAAAGGGGTGAAGTGGATGGACTTGTCCTCGCACACACGGCTGTGGTAGACCTTCTTGGCCGTGGCCTTGCTCTTGAGGATGGAGGCGGTTGATTGCTTGCGGTAGGAAGACGCGTCAGCGTTTGTCATGCAGAGGTCAAACGACACGTCCTTCTGTCGCGCCCACACCCCCCCCCATCACGTCCGTCCGCCCCCCTTCTCCCCCTCCTCCGGCTCCACGATCACCACCTCCTTCCTGACCGCCGACTCGCCCCAAGCCTTGGCGGAAAGGTCGCACAGCACGTCCACCACCTCGTCGTGCCGCCGAATCACCAACCTACCCACTCCACAGTTGAGGGCGTGGTCGAGCGAGTATGCAGCCTCGCAGCCGTCGCAGTGGGTGGGCATCTTGGGTGATTCATAGGCGTACTGGATGGCCATGTTGTCGCGGAACTCGTTTAGCGTCGGGTCGGTGTGGTCCTCTGCGTCAGGCCGGCAAGTCACCCAGGGGCCGTCTTGGCTTCGATCGCCCGGTGGACCGCCCGTCGTCTCTCTGGGGGCAGCTGCTGGAGGCCGTCCTCGAAGCGCTCCTTGGCAGCCTCATCGGTCGCCCACCGCCCCTCCTTGACCGCTTGGTGCATATCGGCACGGTGCTGGAAGGGGTTGAATGGGGGGCCATCAGGTGGGTCGCCGTTCTGGATGGTGGACACCAGCAGGGAAGTGCCCTTGGTGGACGTCTCGTATGCCGCTGCCACTCGCTCCGTCGGGTCCATCACCCCCATCCCCCCATGACGCGCAGGCCGCATCATCAGCCGGGCCTCAGTGGGGGTCACTGCATGGCTGGAGAGCTGGGTGAGGTAGTGAGTGAGGGCATCTCGCAGGGGCTCGAATGTCGCCCGCTCCTCAGGCATCACTCGCATGAAGAAATCCCACTCGGCCTGCAGAGACGTTGTGAGTGCCGTGTGGGCTGCCTGTGGGTACTTGGCCGCCGCCTCCGCCATTCGGTTGACACACCGCTGCCACTCCTGCACCCTCTCGGTGGTGTAGGCCCGCTTGCCCTCCGCGGTCCCCACAAATCCCCCCATATATCGAGCGCCACTCACGATCTCCACGTCGGTATCGCCAAACACCTCTCGCGCCCGCTCCGCAACCCGCCCGCACCACCAGCTGGCTCTTCTTGCCGTTGGGGTGATAGCCCCTCGGTGGCCCTCTCCGCTGCAGCTCAGCCCACCAATCACGCACCGCCTGGAGGTCTCCCGCCTTGGCGGAGTCGTCGGCAAACCACGCCTGAGGGCCCCCCTCTACTGGCCGCTTCATCTCCCATACGAGGGGCAGGGTGGCCACGGAGTAGAACAGGTGGGCCAAGGGGTCGCCTTGTGTGGTCCCTTCTCAACTCCACAGCGGCGCGGACTGGTCACGCATATAGAGGGCCGCATGGCCGCGATAGGTGTTGAATAGGAAGCGAGAGCACCGCGACCACAGGACGCGGACGTTTCACAGGGCGGCAGCGCGACCCATCGTGTTGTAGGCGTTCGTCGCATTCACCAGCAGCGCGCACTCTACACCACCCGAGTCGAATAGGCCGGAGATCGCATGAATGGCACCCTCCAGGCCCCCCCCCCTTGAGCCCGGTACACAGCTGGTCCGCACCGCATACAATCTCCGCATCCACCCCGACCGCCTTGGCCATCGCCTTGCCCATGATGCGCATCAGGACCTCCCCGATCTCGATGGGCCGCACACCCGGTTGCTTGTCCTGTCCGATAAGCCGACATGCGCGTAGGGCCTGCAGCTGCTCCCAGGGCACATCCTCGTTGGCGATGTGTGAGGTCATGGCCGCTAACTCTCGGCGCAGTTCCGCACTTGCCGCGCCGAACTTGAGAGGGAGAAGGTGCCAGACCGATGACCCGCCACCGAGAGGGCCGGCGCCTCCCTTCGTTGCCCGTGCGGCTCGGTCGATGTGGTTGGTGGTGATCTCGACCTGGGTGAGGGGAGGGAGGGGCCGGTCGAGGAAGGAGGATGGGTCAGGGTCGCTCTGGGCGGAGTGCTTCGACTCGAGGACCTCTCGGACGGTGCGGCCCGCAGGATCGGCCTCAGCCAGGCCGTTGGGGTCCAGCGCGCCTCCCCCTCCCCGCTCGGTCAGCAACCGGACGCCCTGCTTGACCTTGCCCTTGTCGATCAGGCGACGGAATTGGCGTAGAGTGGCCTCGTTGGTGTCGTCCTTGCCGACAGGCCTTGTGGCCAGGAGGGCGTTGTTCCGCTCAGCCTCCTGTACGAGCTGCTCGAAGTCGCGCTTCTCCCATTGGTCCATCCGCCGTTCCACCGTCTTGGCGATGTCCTTGCCAGTGACATCTGGCGCCCGAAAGAGAATCGTGCATGCGCAGATGAGGATGCGCTCACTCGGCAGCTGCTCCTCACGCCACCGACGGCCCTCGGTGGCAAGCAGTCGGGCCAGCCGCTTCCCCGAAGCACCCGGCGGATCCCAAAGGCACCCTCGCAGCGGGCCGAGGCGGGCGTGCCAGCGCTGCCAGTCGGTGTCCATGAGGCCGCTCTGCTAATTGAAGTCGGTGGCTCCGAAGGCCTCATGCATCTTCTCCTGGACGAATGAAGAAACATGCAAGCAATGCTATGCATGCGATGGATTTCACTTTGCCTGCCTCCCGGCCCACGAGTCGAATGATTCCCTGACCTCAGGCCAGCGACGCTCGGCGGCCTCCATGGCCTTCTCATGCTCATACATGAATGACTCGTGGGCCTCATCGTCGTCCAGAAAACGAATACCCCGCACCCAAATCGCAAGGCGGCTGCCAGTCGACATGACGGACAGTCCGAACGGCCGTTGCAGTTGACTTTGCGATGAGCACTGGCAGAAAGTTTTTCTTTGCAAAAAGTGAGACGCCCCCCGGGTGTTTAGCTCGCGGTGGAAACCCCAACCTTTCCCCGGAGCATTCTCCAGAGCATCCGGACGACGCCCATCTCTGTGTCGAGATCTATCGATTCGAAGCGTCATCACTCATCTCATCTCGCCATTCAATGTCTGTGGGTGGAGATCTTCGAGGGTGGGTCGGCTGCTGGTGCCGGTGAGGATGCCAGTCATCAGCCGCTGGCTGTCAACCAAGATGCTGCCGACCCACCATTCATCCCCTCGTCCATTCTTCCCTTCTTTCTCCATCTCAGCACAGCCTCTTGTCCGTGATTCCTCGACCAGGCATCATGCGTCAACGCTCTCCCTTGGAGCAACTGCAACTACGAGCACATCGGTCGACGCAGCTTTCTGTCTGCTCGTTACTCGCGGCTTCGAGCAGCTGGCGGTGCGCCTCCTGAAGGCATCAGCAGCGGCTCACGACGCCTTTCCCTCTTTCCGCGTGTTGCCTGGGGCGCCTTCTGGCAAGGGAGGTGTCACAACTGTCGGGAAGATCCTCATGAGCGACCTGGGAGAGTGGCCGGCCGGACTCTACAAAGAGCTGCTGAGGCACTGCCCGTTCCTCATTGCTGTTTATGCCTTCGTCGGTTCCTCCAAGCTGCCACCGGCTACCGATGGCGAAAATGAAGGCTATGCGGACCTGGTGCTGTCGCAGCTGCGGCATTTGGTTGACCAGTCCGGGAGATGGTCAAGTGCGTTGACGCTGAAGCGAATGGTGTTGGGCGGGATGCGGCAAGAGGAGGGCAGGACGGCCCCTTCGCGTGTTCGTGCGTCGTGTCTGAGAGATGGGTGGCATGGAGGCCTCACCAGCGAGACCATCATGAGACAGGCAAGGCGGGTTCACGGTCCACCGGAAGGGAAACGTGTGAAGGCACCCACCACACCCTTTCTGTGTGTTGTGCTTGCCGGCCTTTGTGTGTGCAGATGTCTTCGTGGGTGCATCAGAAGACCGGCTGGATTCCATCCGTGAGGCCTGACCCCTCCCTCCGTCACCACACGCTCCTCTGCCTGGTGAGCTACCAAGAGACCTTCATGTTGCTCTCATTGGAAGACGGCGAAGGCCATCCCCACGCCTCAATCCCAATGGAGCAGCGGCCTTTCCTGGTCTCTGGCACCGACCGACGAGTGCGTCTGCGGCCGTCCACCGCTCATCTCATGGTGCGGCTGGCGCTGGAACAGAAGAGGGGGCGACAGGGGGAGGGGCTGGTGTGGCTGGACCCCTTCTGTGGCATAGGCACCATACTGCTGGAGGCGGCTACTGTCGATAGAAAGGTAATGTACAGATGCGAATGTATCCTGGCGCGGCAACCGATAGCCGTTCGTTGGTGAGGTTGGTGCAGGGTCGCATGATCGGTGTTGATAGTGATGCTGCCTGCATTGATGCCTTCGCAGCCAACATTCAGGCCGCCAAAGACCGACAAACCACGGGAGATGGTCAGCCAGCCTGCATCATAAGAGAACATGAAGCCAGCCCCGCGGTTCCCTGCTGATGTGCCCTGCCTGTGTGCTGTATCCCTTTCTCAGCCCATCTGTCGTGCTACGTCGGCAATGCCCTCGCCCTGTCGTCCACCCTGCCCCCCTCCACCCCACACGTGGACATGGTCGTCACCGACCTCCCATTCCACCACCGCACCACTCTCACGCCCCTCGCCACCACAGACACTACCACGGCAGCTGCGTCATGGGAAGCGCTTATGGATGGTGCCCTTGGTGAGATGATGCGTGTGGTGCATGATGATGGCGTGATCGTCATGCTGGGCCCTCCGCGGATGGCCAAGTGGTTGACGAAGGTGATGCGTCGTGCACGCGGCAAGTGGGAGTGGGATGGATGGGGGGTGAGAGTTGGCGGGCTGGCGGGGTGCGTGGCTGTGGGGAGGCAGAGAGGTCTCTCTGGGTCGGGTAGAGGGTTCGGTTCGACCATTGCTGAGTGACTGACCCACCCGGCTTTGGTAGACGCGATAGATACACTGATTGAGATGAAGTCATGATAGATAGAAGGAGTATGCACACTGTGGAGGGAGTTGGAAGGTTGACATCAATGTGTGCCGTTGCGCTATGACTTAATGTATGCCCACAATCAATTGCATGTCTCTGTATGTGATGCATTGTGCTGAAGGACATGCCCTCACTGGATGCGCTCATCTGTCTCACGTGTGTGTGTGTCTATGTGTTTCTCTCTCTTTGTGTGTCTGTGTGCAGCTGCCAGCTACGCCGTCCACGCACTCATGCCGCGCCTCTTCCCTCTCATCGCACTCGTACGCACACACTCCGATGGATGAAGGGGATGGACAATGATCATGTGGCCTGATGGATGTGCTGCACGTCTGTCTGGGTGTGTCCGTCCGTCTGTGATGCAGGAGCCGATAGCCTTCTTCGCGCTGCGTCGATCGTCTTCAACGCATCTTGGCGCGAGGCCGTGTTCTTCGCTGCCTTCGCCGGGCTGTGGAAGGGACTCACTTTCCTGACGGTCCTCTTCAAGGCGCCCACCGTCCAGCCAGCAGAACCAGCACCACGAAGAGAGGCCGAGGTGAGTGAGGCAGAGCAAGAAAGAAAGATCGGGGGAGGGGGAAGAGACGCACACATTTATCCTCTCGCGTTTGTGTGTGTGCAGGGCTGAGAGGGATGGTCGAGCAGCGCAAACAGACAGACAG